AGAGAGGGAGAAAAAAAGTACCGGGACAAAAAAGAATATTGCTTGCAAAGGCAGCAATAGGAAGACTCCAGTAAATGTGTCCTGAATCCACAATAATGGCATTATCAGTGTGAGCTGGCATTCCAAATTCAGCAGAATTGACACCAGGTCTCATTGAGCTAGTATTGAGACATGGTTTTGGCTGTTAATTGGATTTTTGGTTTCTTCTGTTCCTGCTCCCCCTCCCCCACCTTCTTTCCCCCAGCGGATTCCTCCAATTTCTCTTTCACTTTTGTTAAAGCCAATTTCCATTCAATCAACTCATTTCCTGTTGCAATCTAGAGGCCTGGCTCACACCAAAGAAAGACTTGGAAGAGACCAGAAAAGGCTACTGAGCAGAGTGATAAGAGAAGTAGAAGGAAACCTGGAAAGCCGAATTTTAAAAAAGAAAGATATTCAAGAAGAACAAAGTGGGAACAGCCAAGTGGTACGATGGTTAAGAACTGGCTTGGGATGCCAGAGGGCCCCGGTTCGGATCCCACATATGAGGGCCAGTGACACTGCTCTCTACAGCTAAGATGCTGAACAACAGCTCAACCTGGAGCTGGGCTGCTGTGAGTCACCGGCGATGGCGTAGGCTGCAGTCCCTGCTGCAGTGGGTTGCCATGGGCTACCGTGTGTAGCCAGCAGCCAGCATGAGCGGCCAGCAGCCGCAGTGAGCGGCCGTCCAGAAGCCGGCGACTGATCTGCCTCGCCCCGGAAGAGCGCAATGATGGTGCCAACTGGGGCCAGTGAAGCAACATCCTCCACAATTAGACTGAAGAACAAAAATGACAGCAACTTGTCTGTTCCCCTTCCCCCAATTCCCCAGCGCTGTTCCCATTCCCCAATTTCCCAATAAAAATCTTAAAAAAAAAAAAAGAACAAAGTGAAGTACATGTCAAATGCCAAAATAAATGATGTAGTAGTGTGGCAGTGGACCCTAGACAAATGCCTTCCCAGACTATGTGGTCACTAAGGATTTCGCGCTATAGCGGGGAGTTTCAGACAAAGACATTCCTGGACTCCATGGTCATTAAGACTTCCGTGTTTAATATTTCTGAATTCCTATCTCACCTGGGAGCCAGTCAGGAACTGGCACAATGGCCACGTGTCCTAATAATAAATCTTAGCTGCCAACCTGGAAACCTCAGGGAATATAGCGCCGAGTCCCACCCGGGTCGGGGCTTAGCCTCTGGATATAAATCCACTGAGCCTGTGCCAGCATTAATAAAAGTTGCTTCCTGAGCTTTGGTGTCCTTTCTCTCTGTCTGAGTTTCCCACAACAGTAGGACAAGGAGTTATCAGATTTTACTGACTGTGAAAATCAAGAGATTTTTAGTGGTTTTAGTGAGAGCAATTTTCATTATGTGATAGAGTTGAGGCCAGAAAATAAGAAGTGAAAGGGAAATAAATGGGTGAAATGATACAGAGCACTCCCAGAAATGTGGAGAACAGTTGTCAGTTTTCTACTTCTCATAGACACATGTAGGTTTTCTTTTACTTTTAGAATATTTCAATGAAACTTCAAAAGAGAAGAGAATATAGGAAGGCATGGAGAGGAGAAAGGGAACAGGAAACGTGGGAAGTAAAAATGCATTGGTGAAAAGCAAACAACAGGGAGGTGAGTAACAAATGGAAAAATAACAGAGACATCGATGGATAAGTGAAGGAAAGACAAGCCAAAGAAGACAGAGAGATAGTATCTGAGAAAGGCCGAAGGGAAATAAAGGGAAAGACTCAGAGGCTTGGGGTGAATGTTTGTCTTAACTCTGGAGTTCCTTAAAAGCTGTCAGTCCTGAGAATTATTTTTTTCTTTTTTTAAAAAATTCAAAGTTTATTTTCCTATAGAATTTCTGTATGCAAAAGAGATTTAAATTTTATTTTATAAATTTTGTATTCTTCATAAGTATATTGGCACTGCCCCAATGTTCTTTCCATATTTTAAAATTGCTTCTGTTACCAGCCAACCAAGCAGCACCTCCACCAATGAGAAACTTTTAAGTGTTCTTTCCTAAGGAAATGTTAAGTATAGAAATGTTAAGCATAGAAATGTTAAATCTCCTGCCCCTGCTTCAGATAACTACTTGAAAGTCTGTGACTTCCTAATATCCCCCAGGCCAGTAAGCTAAATGCCAAACCCATTCTGGGCCCAGACAACTGACGCCATCTAACAGGCTGAATGGCCACAGGCTTCATGAGAGCTAACAGATTTATTAATTAAAATCTATTTTTCCTCATTCAGGGACCTTGGGGATACAGATGACACCC